TGCACATATTTCGTTCGTTGTTTTTCGACGCAGGCAGGAACCTTCACCCTTGGTTGCACTTCTAGTTTTTCAGGGGGTTCAACCGGGGTTGCACATCTAGTTTTCCCAGGAACCTTCACCCCATGTTGCGCGCACATCTGGGGTTGCACTTTTTTCGCTTCCCGACTAGAGTTATCATCACAGACATTGCCGAGATGGAGCACGGGCGCGAATACCCAGCAGACGCAGACGGATAACGTGGTGCGGAAGGCAGCTGCGGAGTGTTATGAAGTTGGGCGTTTGACTCCGCTCCAGCTTTAAATCACGAATGCGACAATGGAGCTGGTCAGGCTTCGAAGGTGCGTCGTTGAGGCTACCCGAACGTCGACGAATATCAGCCCCGTTGCGCCCTGGGCCCTACTTCTGACCCGCCTCGAGGACGCGCTCTTCCGCCCGTCAGACGACTAGCTGTGGGCTCAAGAGGTGCGGCGCCTCAGGCTTCTTTGCAGTGCCAAACGCTACGACCCGACGCTTACGGATGGTATATGTGTAAAACAAGGCTTCGGTTGTTCCTAAAGGTGACAGGCAAATTGGTAAAGTCAGCGATTCGGGCTGATCGAGTATAGCATCTTGAAGGGATTGGCGCTGCAGTGGAGGAATGTGCTACCCGCGGCGATGCGCATCATGAGTGGCGGCTTCTGAAGGTTCTGCCGCGCCATGGTGGGCGGCCTGGGAAGACGGGGCGAAGTCTGCAGCTTAGCGACGATGCCGGCTTGGTTTTCGGGACCGACAAACAAAAAGCCGAGGCCATCATCCATCATTTTGCACAGACAGAATACGCTGAGGTGATGACGATTGGGGGTTTGAAGAAGCTGCATAAGCAACGTCTGCATCACGACCTCGCACGGGCTGACCCTTGCGCCGACGTAGTACCTGGGCCATTTCGAGTTGGGCGTCTTTTTCGTGGCATAAGGAAGGCACCAGGCCAGGGCCAGATGTCGGGCGACTTGCCTTCGGCACATCCCAAAGCACTGGCGAGGCACTGCACTCCGATATTTGTGAAGACCAGTATCCATCAGCAAGAAGCTCTTTCCTGGAAGCATGGGATCGTGCTTCCGCTATTCAAAGGCAACGGCTCGCCGACGTGGCTAAGCAACAACAGGTCTATATTGCTCGATGGTGCGATTGGCAAATGCTGGAACCGCCTGCTACGAATCCAACTGGCACAGCACCTTCACCTGATGCTGAGGGACACGCAGCGTGGAGGCAGACCCCGACGTGGCCCAGCTCAGCTGTTGCACTTGGTGATTTCTTTTATGCAAGTCTGCCGTGCCCGAGGCAAAACGGCCATACTGTACTTTATCGATTTGAAAGCCGCGTTTTACTCAACTATTAGATCGCTGTTTCTACCGACGCGCAATGATGCGGGAGATCGTGGCTACATCTTTCACAGTCACGAAATACCATTGGTGCTGACGCCATTGTTCGAGGCTATATTGCAGCACCCTGGGGCTCTGGCAGAGTTGGAGGATCAGCCTCACTTGCTCGCGCTGCTAATCGAGGGGCACCACGATGCACATCTCGGCGTCAGACACGAAGGGTGCCAGGCTGTCGCACGACCCAGAAGAGGTTCGCGCCCAGGAAGCTCGCTTGCCGATGCGATCTTCAACGTCTCGTTCGCCGAGCCTCTGGCAGCCATCGAGGGGGACCTGGCGCAGCGTGGCCTTCCCCTGGACTTGGCAGTGCCAGCCAGCGGCGCGATATTCTCGGCGGACTTATCACCTCCATCGTTGCTCGATGTCTCTTTTGCGGACGATGGCTTATATTTTCTTGTGTCCAGAAATACTCCAGAGGCGATAAATACCTCAGGCTTCGCCGTGGACTGCGTGCACCAGCATAAGATTACACGTGTCTTCGCGGTGAGCTACCAGCGTCACAGGGGCAGCGCGATGACCATCCCTGCTGGGGGCGGCGCGCGTGAGCTAGCACTACGGTTGTAGGGGCATCGAAACGCCAAGCTGACCTCGCCCGAATGGAAGGTAGAGGCACATCTTGTTCGCGACTACAAGTACTTGGGCACCATGGTGGACCAGGAGGCGGCGCTTGGACCAAGAATCGCGATGGCCACCACAATGCAGAAGACAGCGCTCGACCCGATCAGGATGATGACGCCTGGGCTCCATAGGCTTACAACTACGACCAAGGTTAACCTATGCGATGTGCTTGCTAACGTTTATTTAGTGTATCTGATTGCAGTTTGGCACGACTTACAGCCGGCCCAGAAGAAAGCTTTGGAGGCGCCGGGGCTCAAGTCATATCGCACTGCTGTGGGCAAGCAGCACCGCGCGGCGACCAGCGCATACACTGCAGATGCGGAGGTGCTTCATCTAGCCAGAAGGGTTTGAATCGAGCATGTGATTCGGAGGCGAAGGCTTAAATACCTGGGGTCGCTTTTAACTACAGCTCCGCCTGCGCTGCTTTTCTTGATCGATATGCGGGCATCCCAGAGCGGCTCTCGAACCTCCTTGATTATGGAGAATGTTCGTTGGCTTGGCAAATATAACGTGAAAGGCGGCACCGAGGACTGGACTGTGAAGCGCTGGTTCGACTTTGCCAAGGAGTCACCACACAGCTACAAGTTGACGGTCAATCGAGTCTGGAAGAACTGGCTCCCGCTCGAGTTAGATATGCTCTACCATCGAGCGTGGCAGCGTTGTGTTGGAGCGGCGATGCCGACTGAGCTGCCCGAGGAGGTCCAAACGAAGTACGCGCGCTACACTTGCGGGGACACAGTTGCCACAGTTGCCGCCTGGAGGCGTCACCAGCTCCAGCATGGCCCGATCGACCTCGCGCAAAGAGCGGCGCGGGGAAACCAATGCGCGGCTTGTGGCTGGATTTTCGGCAGTCTCTCCTTGCTGATCAGACTCTTGAGAAAGGTGGGCAACCGATGCGTGCTATGGCTCGAAGAGCACCACTCTTGAACGAGGACGAGGCTCACCTTCGTCGCCAGGAAGACTTGTCGGTTGAACGCGAACAGGCTCATCGGGGAGATCATCGTTTTAAGATATTTCAGAAGTCTCGGTATGCAGCGCCCGGCGAAGGAGATGGGGGCGTTCAACATTGGGGTGGACGCGGGGAGCCCTTTCACCCACCGTTGCCGCCCAGCACGCAGGTCGCTGCAGCATGCTCTGTCTCCGACCCTCGTCGGGCGGGTTTCGGTGTCGCAGACGAGGTGCAGATGTTGTATCACCGTGGGTCGTACCCAGGCGACTTGGTAAGTTGGATCCGTCAGCTGTCCAGTGGAATGGCTAAAGTACGTGTTCGTGAAGCTCTAGTTCCAGGGCAAGATGATACCATGGCCCCGCGGTCTATCGATGATCAGGCAGCGGAGAAGTTGATATCGTCAACGTCGGAAGGACGAGTGGTTGGCGTCGTAATGGCTCCCAGTCTTACGTCTTGGAGGCGAACAGCAGCACCGTCTTCTCTCTCAGAAGCTGAGCGTGCGATCTTGCGGGGCCGGCCTCAAATGTTAGGCGCAAGTGCTGTGCGACATGCAGATCGAGCCCTACTGCGCTCAGATACCGCCCCTTGGGGCGAGCCTAGGCTTCCAGCTCGGCTTCCGGCTCGTGATAGCGCCCACGGCCCGCTCGGCTGTAGCAGTCGCAGTTGTACCTGAACTCCGAGATGCGGTCCAACAGCGACGGGTGCAACATCGACAGCTTCAGGAGGCAGCCTTAGGTAGCGGCGACGGCCTGGCTGCTCTGCTCGTTCACTGCGAGTTAAATCTTAGTCGAGTGCCGGGAGGGGCTCCCGCGATCCCTCCCAGACCGCGAGGTTCGTGGTCGGTCCGACTCTCGCTGATTCTTGCAGAAGCCGTTTTGGTCACGTCGTTGGCGTTGGGGTGATGGCGCCCACAGCCGCTTCAAGTTCGGGGTGGTCGGAGGAGCTAGAGGCAATGGGTGGGCGTGTGGGACTTGGGGGGGCAGGGCTCTGCTGGACTTAGGCCAAGGAGCCTGTGGTGCAGCAGCTGTGCAGCGGTCTGCCCCTCGCTCATAATGTTCTGCGTATATCGTGCCTTTGTTGTTGATGGTGACGACGGCGGCGACGACGACATGAGACTTCACCATCCCTCTGTCCCACAGCCGCGCTTGCTTGCTCTCGCCATCTTCGTCTGTTTTCACGCTGTCTTGTTGCTACCCCTGTGCTGATTTCTTGAGTTGCGCGTCGACAGTGCCGCATTTAGGTTTTTACCTGTCGCTGTGCCGCTCGCCTGCCTGTCTCAGCGGAGCCTGCGACGCCAGCACTGGATGTCTGCAGTGATGACCAGCGGCAGTCGCACCTCCTCGCTCCCGTCTGCCACATGCTGCTGTTGGGGCTGCTCATGTTGGACAAGAGGAGTTGGAGGATGAGGAGGTCTTGATTATCGCCGTCCCTCGTCAGCGTGGCGTGCACGGTGCCCGAGGCTCGCTCCGCCTGTGCTGTCGGCGGCCGCTGCCGCCGTCCCTGACGCTACGAGCGAGTGCGTTCGGCAACCTGCGTAAGAAAAGGTGGGAGGGATGCAAAGGAGGGAGGGAGCAAGGGAGGCCTCTTCTTCTTCCTCATCCTCCTCCTTTTCCTCCTCCTCCTCCTCCTCCTCCTACACTTCCTCCTCCCGATGACGACGACCAACCGAACGACAGACCTGCGAACCCGTGCGGTCAGGAACGTTTGCTTAGCGGTCTGCGCCGCCGGTTCTGGCCCACCGCGCCTCGGCACGGCACGCCAAGCAAACATTCTTCCGAAGCATCAACGTCCAGCGCTTGCCCTTGCCACCCGCCCCACGAAGCAGAGCGAAGCGCCCTCGGCTTGCGGGGCACAGCGTCCCGCGGGGCCGCCTCCGTGACACGGTGAGCAGAAAACTCCTTACGGCCCGCCCCCTTTGCCGGCCGCCGCCGCCGTCGTCGTCGTCGTCGTCGTCGTCGTCGCCGCCGTCGTCGTCGTGTCTTGAGGTCCACAGTCAACAGTTTGAGACTCCTCCAAAGGCAGGGCTCCCAGCGGGCGGCGGAGGCCGCGGCGCGCCCGCGCGGGGAGCGACGGCGCCGGACCCGCTGTTGTCGGTGTTGCGGCGCCACGCGCTGCGGGCGTTCCTGGAGGCGCCTCCTCCCCTTCTCGGCGGACCACCCGCTGGCGGCGGGGGGGAGCGGTTTGGCATCGCTCGGACATGTGCGTTTGTTCAGGACCACGACCATCGAGGAGCATCATGGATCATCTTGCGAAACAAAGAGCACGCACGAGACCGAGAAGTGCACGGGGAATGGTCGTCCGAACGATGGCAAGGCGGAGGGCGAGAGGAGGAAAAGGTACCGACACCGCTACCCTTCCCTCGGTTTCCCCTTTTTGGGCCTCCTGGGAGGCCCTCGTCGCCACCGCTGGGTTCGCCTTGAATATCTGGTCAGAGCGCACTCTGGGAAAGGCCCGGCGAGTAGCGGTATGTATACCCGTATATCAGTACCTTTCTGCTTCCCCAGAGGGGGGGGGGAGAGAGGAGAAGGGGGAGAGGAGGGGGAGGAGCCTCCCCTCCCTTCTCCATTCCTCTCCTCCCTGCAAGCCCTACAGGTGCGGATCGGTGTGTCGAATTTTCCCTCCTCCTCCACCTGCTCCTTCCTCGTCCTATTCCACCTCCTTCTCCTTCTCCTCCTTCCTCCACCTTCCTCCTCATACGTAAGACTTCCACTGACGAACAGATGGTGAGTGCGACCTACCCCACGGTGCTCATGATGATCACGATCAAGTCCCCGTCCATCCTCATCATCATCATCCTCCCATTCGCTGCTCCGTTCTCGTCGCTCCTCCCTCCTCCTGCAGACTGAGCCCAGTGTGGCACAGCGCGCCGAGGTCTCAAGAACCGGGCGAGGATAGCGCGCCCCACATGCCCCCCCCCCCCGAGGCACCTCGAGAGAGCTCGTGGAGGCCATAGCAGGACTTCGGGCGGAATGATTGGTTCAATCCTGGGGCCTTCCCTTCATTTCGCCTTCCGGGGGAACCTTGTCGGGTTCCGGGGCCGACGAGCGCTTCTCTGGAGGGAAGGGGTCGAGACTGGAACCTTCGGGTCCGGCGGATTGAACATCTCAGCCCGTCGGAGGTTTGGGAACGGGCCAGGCTTCGTTGCGGGGGGGGTGGCCTGCGAGCCGCTGGGTCTGCCATGACCGCAGCCGGCAGGAGCGGCAGGAGCGAGGCAGCAGGAGGAGGACAAGGGCGAGGGTTGATTGATTACGCACAGGCCGTTTTTGTCTTGAGAAGGCAGTTGCTGTTGTAGTCCAGCAGAGAGGGTAGTCTCTGCCAGCTTTGTCGGAGTTCCGAGCTGTGGGGAGACGAAACGACGGATGGAAGTGGAGATGGGGGGCCTCACCGGTAGGTTTTGACCACCGTGCGCTTCGCGCCCTCTGGATCTGGCCCCGGATCGTAGCCAGAGAAGCAGATCGGGCGGAGTAGTGGGGGGGGGGACCTGCGTGGGGGGTGAAGAAAAGGTGCCCTGAAGGAGCACTTTGGGGCCCCTTTTGGGCCCCTGCTGGCTCCAAAAGGGGCTCTTCACCCCCCACGTAGGTCACCCCCCCACTACCACATTATCACCCGTCCGAGCAGCACCAAGCAGTGTGCAGGGGGGGAGGGGGGGAGGTGCCTTGGCCCCTGGCCTCGCGACCTGCGGGCGCCGCAAGCTGGGCCGCGCGCCGACGCGAGGCAGACGGCACGAACCTGGCCCCGTGCAAAGGCGAGTCTGGGGCGTCTTAGGGGTCCTCTCGGGGCGTCTTGGCCTCCGCCCGGGTCATCTCGGGGCCCGCTTGGGCCCCTTCGGGGCCCCTTGGGGCCGTGTCTTGGACTGTCTTGGGCCTCAGAAGCCCGAAAGTGCGAGCACGTTTACCTATGACAAAGTGTTGCAGGGAACTCGAGCGCGTTTGGTATTGGCCGCAGGGTCCACTGCCAAGATCATGGCTCGTCTTGGGCACCTGAGCGGGGCCCACCCACTGCGCAGCCCGTAGGATGATCTATGACTTCGGCCCGGTGTGCGCATTTTCACGGAGGCCAGACGAGCGCCACTGTCGTTGAAATCAGGTGCTTACGGTCGACGGACAGCAGGAAGCAAGGGCCAAGCGGATTGGGGAGGGAGAGAGAGAGAGGGATACAGGGAGGAGGGGCAATGGCTTCTTGGCTGAAAGCACTCGTGGCTGAAGCTCTCGCTCTTGAATGGGAGCTTGAGACTTTCGCACGCATGCGCGCAGAGTGTAGGGGCGGTGAGTTGATAATAGGCAGTAGAGCAAGCGTCTGCGCGGACCGCTTTGCGCATCTGCAGAAGAAGAAGGAGGTGCAGGAGGGCCTGTCTTCCGCGCTGCCTGCGACCAGCACTGCGTAATTCGGTGACGTGCCCGCCACTTGCGCGCGAAGGACGGGGAGGGCGGGCTCCCATTCGATAGGCGTTGCCGCCACATTCCCGCAGAGGAGCCCTTCGGCACCGTGGCGGCCGCCTGGGACGCCATGGCCGGCCTCGCCTTGGACGCAGCGAGCGAGGGCGGGCCCGCACCCGCGGACGGCGCGCCAGAGTTGCCCCGGGACACTCTGAGGCACCGGTTCACAGAGGAGGAGCCGCCAGAGACTCCATCGCTCCTCGCTCCTGCTCCCAGCTCGCTTTCCCTAATTATTCCTCCTCCTCCTCCTTCTCCTCTTTGTTCTCCTTCTCCTCCCTCCCTCCCTCCTTCCCTCCCTGCTCCGCCCCCATGGTGCGGCAAGGACCGCGCGGCCTCCCACCCAGCCTCCCCGAGGTCCTCGCCTCCCCTCTGCGCTCCCTGCCGGGCCCCCCGGCCTCGCCGCCGAGGGGCGGGGCGCGGGCCAAAGGGGAGTGGGGAGGGCGGCTGTCCGGAGGCCGCCCGACGGCGCGCAGAGACGCCCCCCCCCCCTGTCTCGCCGCCGAGGGGCGGCTGTCGAGGAGCTCTGCGCTCCAAGCCTCCAGGTCCTCCCCAATGAGGAGGGTAACTCATCGCTTCGGAGGGGGGAGCGACGAGCAAGCTCAGACTCCTCAGTCTGAGCTGTCAGAAAACCGGTCAACCTCGGCCCCCATCCTGTCAGATCCGTCACCCTGCGGGCGATGGACGCAGGCGAGCGCAGCGTCGCTCGACAGGCGAGGCGAGGGAGCAAGGTGAGGCAAGGAGGCCGCCCGACGGCGCGAAGAGACCCCCCCGAAGCGGGACGCGCCGCCTCCGCGCACTCACCCAGCGGCGAGCACGAGGAGCGTGGCGCGAAGGGGGAGGCCCTCTAAGAAGGCGAGGGGGGAGGCTTCTAAGAAGGCAAGGGGCCTTCTTAGAGGCCCTCCTGGCGTCTCAGTAGCATTCTTACAGTGGAGACCAAGCCAAGAAACACCCTGCTCGCCTCCAGGGTGCCCTGGGTTTCTTGGGTACCGATGGTTCGACGATGGAGAGCGCGACGTTCCCACACCAAAAGTCAATGGACAGCCCGGGGTCTCAGGGTTGGTTTCTTGTGGAAGGTTCCTTGTGGTCGGGCCCTACTGTAGAGGCCTCCCAGGCCTTTCTGAGAAGGCCCCTGCCTTCTGCGTAGCGCGCCGCCTGCTCAGAAGACCACCCCGCTCGCCCGCGGCGCCCCCCTGTGCGCGCCGCCAACTCCGCGGACTCACCTAGCGGACACGCCTCGCCCTTGCCATCTTATGTGGGGCGGGGGGGGGGGGCGGGGGGCGACGTTTGTGCCCTTGGCTGAGCCTCCCCGTTGGTTGCCACGGCTGGATCCGCCTCGAGATTCTGGCCAACAAAAACCTTTCGGTAGCCTCTGCGAAGGCAACAGGGGTCGGCCCTCCCCAACCTCTGGGGCCGCAGGCCTGCGCCCGAGGCCACTTGAAATGCGCACCGCATGCTCAAAGATCAGTTGGAGAATTATTGGCAGTCTGATGTATGATCCCGGGTCGAGGGTTCACAGCCTTCTTCCCCCCAGATGGGATGGGTCCCAGGCTTCCACTCCACAGGCCCCCCCTCAGATGGGATGGGGGAGGCGACGACGCCAATGCCGACTCCCACGCCGACGCCGACACCGGTGCCGACGCCGACGCCGACGCCGACGCCGCCGCCGCCGCCGACGACGACGCCGCCGCCGCCGCCGACGACGACGACGACGTCCGACGACAACGACAAGGACGACGATGTCGGCGACGACGACGACGACGACGAACCACCCCACACTCACAGGGGGAAGGCGAGGGGTGCACCGGCACCCTCCACCACGCCACGCCCACAGGGCCACGCCCACAGGGGGGGTGGGGGGGAACGATCCCATTCGCGAGGCCTTCGCGAGGCTCACGGGCGTAATTACCCATCCAGCGGGGGGAGGCTCGATCCTGCTTGCATTGGTGGTGTGAGAGGGTGGGCAACCCTGGATCAGACACACACACACACACACATATATATATATATATACAAGACTGCAGTGGCGCTTCGCGCCATGCACCTTGGTCCTTGGAGTTTGGTATACAGGCGGGAACGGCAGGAAGGTCAAGCCGACAATTTAGCGATAACTCCTTGCTGCCTTTTCTGGCATCGCAGTTATAATAATCTTGTTCGTTGTCCTTCCTCCATGCTTATGTTTCCTCATCCTCGCCATACCCTGGGCATTCTCCCCATCCTCCTCAGCTCTTTTTGAGGCTCCTCCTTGGAGAGCCTCTGGGGGCCTCACCAAAGTTCTCAGGCTTTCTTAAAGCCTTCTGGAGGCCTCCTGGGTGTGTTCTGGGGCCTCTGGGGCTTCCTAAGGCCAACCTGTCTCTAACCGCGGTCTCCCTGAACGCCCCAGTCACGATTTGGAATGCTTCGGAGGGTGTCTTGGGGCCATCTTGGGCCGCCATGGTGCTCTCTTAGGGCCATTTTTTGGATCCCTGTTGTGCCGTTGAGGGGCTCTCTTGGACTGCCTGGAAGCCCTTTCGGATGGTTGTGGGGCGATTTTGGAGCCTCCCAGGCGGCTTCGGACGCCTAGGAGACCGCCGTCTTGGAGCGTCGGGAAGCCGCAAAGAGGAGAACCCCAAATGCACCAAAACCTACATAGAATCAATGATTTGTCCCTCTTGGGGCCTTCTTGGGGGTGCTCTTGGAGGCCTCTTGGTACGTTTTGGAGCGATCTTTCGGGGTATGACGGCTTCTTGTAGCGCTCTTGTGCTGTCTTGGGGGTCTCTGGGACGTCTCCGGTGATCCCCCTGATCGCCCTGGGTGTGCTGCGAAGGCTTGGCAAAACGCCCTGCGAGGCCCAGGGGGCCGCTTCGAGGCCCGTCCATAGGGTCCCAAAGCTGCAGAGCCCGGGGGTCCCGTTTTGGGGGGGGTATGGGTTTTCCCCCCGCCCGGGCCTCTAAAAATATAGGAAGAGGAATAGTTCATTGTATATTGATATATACGAAAGTTGTTCTAAAATTACACTACACGAGAATGTCCAATTCCATCTCCCCATGACATTGCGAAGCCTCAAACAGGGCGCGCTCGATTTACATGCGCGCCAATTTGCTTGGGAGTTCCCAGAAAAAGTCGCAGCGCCAGAAGGAGCAGCAGTAGCAGTAGCCAGCGCTCATGGCGCGCGATGAAACATATATCTTCTTGACCACGCCTAACCCGCTACCGCGACTGGGTCGTGAACGAGAGGCCTCTTGGAGCTTTCTTTTGATCATTTAGGGTTCGTGTTGGCGGCCTGGTTGGTAGCCTCTGCGTATATTGGGGGCCTCCTGGTGGCCTCTGGGCTGCGTATTGGGACCTGCTGGCGGTGTGGGGGGCCATCGTTGATTGGAGGGCCCCTTCGAATTCCCCTTCTTGGGCCTTGGAGGCCTCTTGGACCCGCAAAATGACCGTCTTCAATCGATACTGGGGCCTCCTCGGCCATCTTGGACGCTCTTGAGACCGAAAAGCCAAGAACGCCTAAATCATCGAAGATTGCTTTACGCTTGGCGTATCCGTACCAGCTCGTTCAGAAACCCTGCCCATGAGAGCTGACGGGAAAAAGGACGAGGAGACACAGATAGGGAAACAAAGCAGACAACCAATATGAACAGGGGAATATTTGGGAGCAAGGGTGTGGCCTTGGAGGGCCTCATGGGGCCAACCCTAGAGCCCGCGGGGAGGGGGGGAGCGAGGGGAGGAGGAGGAGGAGGAGGAGGAGGAGGAGGAGGAGGAGGAGGAGGAGGAGGACCAATGTAAACCCAAGACCCATCAACAGTATTGCAATACACCCTCGCTCCAAGTTCCCTCTTCATAGGCTCCCAGAAGGTTCAATTTTCACTGAGGGAATTGCCCCGTTGGGAGACGACCATTTGAAGATCCTGAATCGCGCGAGGAGGAGATAGAGGAGGAGGACGCAAACCGCCGCTGTGGCCCTCGCGGAACGCTCTTTGAGCACTTTGGGGCGCTCTTGGGGCCATCTCTTGGGACCCTCTTGGAGCTCTCTTGGGGCTCTCCCGGGAGCCCTGGAGGGCCTCCTGGCTCCACCTTGGAGGCCATCGATCAAAAGGAGGCGGTCCCTTGTCCGTGTCCCCCCCCTGGGGCGCTCAAAATCCCTTCTTAGTGCCCTCTTGGGGCGCTCTTGGGGCCGTCTTGGGGGCCTCTTGGGCCCATCTTGAGCCTCTCTTGGGCCATCTTGGAATCAAAAGCGCATCGGAAGCGAAAAGACGAGAAGGCAAGCACCGCTGAGTTTCATGAGGTGTTGAAGAGGCCTTTTGGGGGCTGGTCCTGAGGGTGCTCCCAGAGCACTTGGAATCATCTTGTGGCTCTCCTCGGGCCTCTGGGAGGTATGTTGGAAGCTATCTTGAGCCAAGTTCGTCTATCATGAGCCGCCCTGGAGGCCATTTTGGAGCATCGGAGACCATGTTGGAGCCATCTTAGGCGAAAAGGAACCCTTACACATCGCGGCCCCCGCCGAAACAGCTCAGGGAGGGGAGGGGGCGGGTACCCCTCCCCGAAGGGAATATGGGTTGGGGAAGAGGAAAGAAAGAACTCGTTAGACCACCCACGCCCAAAGGGCTGGTGGGATTTTTGACTTTTCAAAAAAACTGGCCTCGTGGACCGACCCGCAGGGCTTCCGAGACGGCCTAAGAGGCCACATAGAGAGCACGAGAACGGCCCCACGGGACCATCTGAGGGAATGTCAGAAGTTCGGATTTCGAATCGCGTTCCCGAGGCCTTCAGAAAAGTCATGCGAGAAGTCCCAAAAGCGCCAAGAGGCGTTGGAGAATACCAGAATCCAGAGCCTGGGGCCCATTAAGAGCGTTTACAGTGCGCAGCATGGACACGATTGCCACGCTTGCCTGGTGACCGCAGGAACTCACAGGGATCTTGATCGGATTTGGCTACGGCGTGGGCGCTGGACCCAGTTGGTGGCACGCATTGTTCTGCAGCCTGGATGTCGACCAGGATGGAGCGGTGTCGCTGCAGGACTCTCCGCGCACGCTATTTCTTCGGACGGTGCCATGTTTCTCACCGCCTTGTCTTCACACGTCCAGGAGATACATCCCATTCGCGTCTCATTTGCCAGTTATCACCCGATTGTCCGTCGAATCCGTAGAGCTGTCATCGCGGCGAGCCCCTCAGGGGGGGAGACGAGAACACAAGTCTACATACGAATCGGTGAGTGTTCCGGAGTACCGCCTCGACACGCTCGTGGCTGAACACCTGGGCCTGTCGTGGGGACCGCTTTGGGCCGTTTGGGGGGCATCCATGCGGCCCCCGTGATTGTCGTTGGGCCTCTCTTGGGGCCCTTGGGGGGGGTTCTAGTGCCAACACCTGTGGGCCGTCTGGGGAGGTCGTGGGGCCATCTTCGGGAGGTCTTGGGCCGTCATGGGGCCGTGTCGGGGCTGTCTTGGTGGCCGACTGGGGCCAAGAAGTCGTTGGGCCACACTGGGTGATTCTTGGGCAGTTCGGGGATCTCTCAGGGGCCTAGGCCCGCTCAGTGGCCTTTGGAGCCCATCTGAAGCCAAAAAGTGAAGCATGCTAAACACCGCAATGAGCCAAATAAGGTTCAGCGATGCTTGAACATGGGGGGTGAGACATGAATGAAGAACTAGAACGAGGAAGAGGGGGAGGATGCGGAGGAGAAGCTGAGCAAAACAGAAACCGGCACGCTCAGGGGCGGAGGCGAGACGGGCGGGACGGGGCAGCGGTTCGAGGAAGCGCCAGATCGGGCAGCGTTTCGAAGAAGCGCCATAACGCTCTCTATTATGCATATGCGGACTCGTGCGTGCCTTGGTTTGGATGGTCGGGAGTTTCACAGCATTCGACCAACGGGGATTGGAACTTCGGTGGGCTCCTCCGAGTCTCAACTAGAGGGGACTCGTAAACACGACTTCTCTGGTTGATAAGCCATTGGTTTTTCCCATACTGCATTGAACGACGTACGAAAATATGTTGAAGACGCCTACGGCGAACCACCGCCGCCCCTTGGCGTTGGAAACGCCCATGCGGCCAAACAGTGGGTCAACGTCTGGCCAAGCTATTAGACTATGTGTTTCCCCAGCCGCTTTGGATCCGCTTGGGGAACACCCAGGAGTGAAGGAGAATGGAGGAGGAGGAGGAGGAGGAGGAGGACGACGAAGAGGATGCAGAAGAGGAGAGGGAGGAGAAGGAAGACGACGAGAAGCAGGCGTGTTGCGGCCAACTTGGGGGCTTCCTGGGAGCGTCTTGGGGGCCATTGAGGGGCCTCTGGGAGGCCTTTGAAGGGGCCTCTGGGGGAACTCTCGGGGCCTCTGAGGGACCTCTTGGCCTTCGGAGGCCGGCTTGGGGACCTCTCTGGGCAGTCGTGGGTTCCTCTTTGGGAGCTCTAGGGCCGCATTGGAGGTCTATGGAGCCGTTTTGGTAGCCTCTTGAGCCATCTTGGGGTTTTCTTGGTCCGTCTTGCGGACCTCTTGCTTCGGCTGCCTTCTGGCGATTCTGGGTGCCAGTGAGGCCGTCTTGGAGCGTCGGAGGCTAGAAAAAAGGCGAGAACGGTACAATCATGTAAAAACCTAGATAAATGATGTTGGCCTCCTGGAGGTCATCTTGGAAGCCTCTTGGAGCGTCTTGGTGGACATCTTGGGCCGTTTGGAGAGCATCTTAGGCTTTTGTTGGGGGCCGTCTTGGATACAGCGTGAGCCATTTTGGGCTCTCTTGGGGACACGTTCGTCCTCTTGGGGACCATCTCGGCCATTTGGCAGGTGGGAACTTGCACAAAGGACACCACTCACACAGTCAGCACGCCAAACACTCTTTTTTATGAATCATCCGATGGCGACGGATGGCGGAAAGAGCGAGGTACGAGCGAGAGACGTTTCGCAGGGGGTGAAGCCTTTATAGGGAGGGGTTCTGGGGGAGGGGGCTAGCGGGGGAACAACAAGTCTAGTTGCCCTCGCGCCTAGTTTTTTTCGAGTGAAGCGGCTCCACGGCTGCTCCCCTGGCCTGTTTCTTCGTATCTCCTGGTGAACCAAGAGGGTCCCAAAACGGCTCCAGAGGGCCCCAAGACGGCGGCAAGAGAGCTTCAAATGGCCTCCAGACGGTCCAAGAGAGTCTCGAGACGGTTCCAGAGGCCCTCAAAAGGGCCTCCGAGGGGGCCTTAGGAGGCCAACAACATTGACTTCCTCATGGTTTTGCAGGTTTGTCGGGCTCTCCCCTTTCCACTCCCAGAAGGGCCCCAGACGGCCCCAGAGGCCCCAGCGATCCTCCCAAGCAGGCCCCAGAGGCGCCCCAAAGGGGCCCAAAACGATCCAAGAGGGCCCCCAGACGGGCCCAACACAGCCCCAGATGCCCCCCAAAGGGGCCGAAAATTGTCCAAGAGAGCCCCCAGACTGCCCAAGAGGGCCCCAAAACTGCCCAAGAGGGCCCCAAGGCGGCCCCAACAGAGCCCCAAGAGGGCCCAAAGAGCTCCCGAGCGGGCCCCAGGAGGGGGAGGAGGAGGAGGAGGATGCAGAGGAGGGGGAGGAGGAGGAGGAGGAGGAGGAGGAGGAGGAGGAGGAGGAGGAGGAGGAGGAGGAGGAGGAGGAGGAGGAGGAGAGGAGGAGGAGGAGGAGGAGGAGGAGTCAGGAGGAGGAGAAGGAGGAGGAGAGGGAGGAGAAAGGCAGGAGGAGGAGGTGGAGGAAGAGGAGGGGGAGAATACTGATAATAGGCGGAGGAGAAGGAGGAGCAAGGTTTCCAACTGAGAGCGGCGACGTAGCACGCGCTTGCCAGCAAGGCTCCCAAGAGCGAGCGGTGACGCAACAAGCTCTTACCACCAAGGCTCTCTGAAGTGCGAGCGGCAACGTAAGCATCTTTGGGCACGAGAACTCTGAACAGAGAGCGGTGACGCAACAAGCTCTTCTCAGCAATGCTCCCAAGAACCAGCGGTGACGCAACAAACTCTTGCCACCAAGGCTCCCAAGAGCGAAGGGTGCCATGAACCATCTCGGGCAGGTTGCTGAAGCGCTCTGTCTGTTCCCGTGTCGGCCCAGGTGACGGAAAGAGCGAGTACGAATGATGTACGTTGAGTTGGGGCGAAGCCCTTTGGGGAGGGGTCCATGGGAGGGGCGATGCGGGCGTACATTGGTCTAATGGCAGCTCGCGCCTCGTAATTTGTCGAGCGGAGCGGCTCCCAGGCGGCTCCCATGGCCCGTTTCTTTTTATGTTTTCTGATGAAGCGGCCAGATGGCCCCACGACGGCCCAAGAGGGCCCCAAAACAGCCCCCGATGAGTGAGGATACGAAGAACTGTGCTGCTCCTGCCCAAAAGTGTGTGCAAGGGTGGGACATGATTTCTAACATCATCGAGGCAGGAGCTTGGTATGGAGCAACACATGCTGGGCCGTGCGAAAGCATGTCTGCTACTCACGGACGTTTGCTCTGCATTCCCGTCGCTGGCCATCCCGTGGCTTCTGCAAGTACTTGCTCGTATGAATGTTGCGCCCGCCATCGTCACCTTTTTCACTCTCCAACTTCTAGATAAGATTGCTGCCGTTCTCTTTGCCGGTCGCAAGTTCGGCGAATTTCGCATGCAGGGTGGAGTCGAACAGGGTTGCCTGAGCAGTATGATGTTACTTGTTCTTGCTGCTGACCCACTCTTGCGTTGGCTCATTTTTCAATAATCTTACCATATCGACAGAACCCTCGCGTATGCCGACGACTTTTGTTTCGGGTTCTGCAACGTCGTTTCCGCCCTGGGCCCCATCCTCGCCACGATCGGGCGGTTCGAAAAAATTGCTGGCCTTCGTCTCAATTCTCGGGAGTGACAATTATGTGTCGTGGGCTCCATGGACCTCCAGCTCCTCAAGGACTCCATAGCTAACCTCCGCGGGGACCCCAATGTTATCCAAGTCCTGTCTGCTGCGAAGCCCCTTGGCATTTTCATTTGTCGTGACGCGGGCAAGTATGCCTACGATGCTACCCTGGCCAAGTTTCGCCAGCGAGTGATTGTCACGCGCGCGCTCGGCCTCGGTCTCACGCGATCGATCCTTGCCTTCAAGGCGATGTGCGTCTCAATAGTCTCTTCTGTGATGCAAGTACACCCCGTCACTTCTCGTCTGCTACACACATACCCTGAAGCTGTGATGCATCTTACCGCCGGCCCTCGTAATGCGATGTCACATAACCTCTGTGTCCAGCTCACCGCTGTCCACCTACCGCTTTCTTTTCCAGACATTGGTACCCTCGCGAAGGCCACACGTCTGGTGTGTATATATATACATATATATATATATATACATATATATATATACAAGACTGCGTTGGCGCTTCGCGCCATGCGCTTTGTTCCAGACGCTTCCCTGGCAAAACAATTAATCATCGCTCGTGGTAGCATAGGGACTTGAGGGTCTGCACGGGCGACCGGCGCCTGCTGACACCGCCCTCGTCCGATGCACTTGCGGCATGCTTTCCTATCCATCGTCGTTCCATGTCTTAGCTCCCCCCGTCGACCTCCTCATGTGTGTTCCGCCCGTCATGGGGGAAGGTATGGAGAGGAGTTGCGTTCGGTCGATGATCTGCCAATTCGAAGGGGTCTCCCTACCCATTCTGTCCTCCTTACCTCCTCTTCCGCCTCCTCCGGGTGTTGAGCTCATCCGTTGAGGAAGTAAGGAGTCTTCCCATGACACGCCGAAAAATTCGCAATAGGTCGGAACGAATCGATATGTGGTCGCTCCCTGACATTCAGGAAATCTTGGATCGTGGAAATTCGAACCTGTATCCCTTGCCTGTCTCTCTCGATCTAGGCATGGGGACCGCGAGCCTGAAGCGTGGAACGAAGAGCGTCGAGTGAGTTCGATGCACTTCGCAGAGGAACCGCGTTTAGGTGTTTTGATGTTTTTTTTGGGCCGTCCTGGGGCCTTCCTGGGCCGTCTTGGGGCCTTCTTGGGCCGTTGTGGGTAGCTGGGTCCCTCCAGAAGTCTTCGGAAGCCATTTTGGGCCTCTTGGGGGCCTCCGATGGTCTTCCTGGGGATC